AAAGCCGAAAAAAACGTACTTAAACTTTAACTGCGTTTTTCTTAAAACGTTGTTTTTTAAATCGGTTGCAGGGATTGTGAATAAACGGATGGATATTTCGGCCTAATTTTTTTGCATATTGTTCAAAAATGTATTCTTTAGTGGTTTTACCTAAAAAATTTAAAAAAAAATTTTATATGTTTTTAAACAATAAAATCGGACAAGTGCGAGTTACACTCGCACTGAAATCGAGGGTTCCGTACTCTAAGCGAACTTATTTGGTATAAAAACAAATGTTTAAAAAATATGTGTTGTATGACAACTAATATAAGTGATACGAAGAGGAACAATTTTGTAAAATTCAAGAAAAATGTTCCTCTTCGTATCACTTATATTAGTTGTCATACAACACATATTTTTTAAACATTTGTTTTTATACCAAATAAGTTCGCTTCGAGTACGGAACCCTCGATTTCAGTGCGAGTGTAACTCGCACTTGTCCGATTTTTTTTATTTTAGAGTTGTAACGACTGAAGAAATGAACTCAATCATGTTTATTAAATTATTTCTATAATCTACACATAAAAATACGTAAAAATAGAAAATTTGAAGCCCTTTAGAAAAAATTTGTTCCGTTATTGGGAGAAAATTCATGTTTTTTTCTAAAATTATCAGTTTTTTCTTGACAGACCCAGAAAAATCAACTCCAATCATCCTCGCTATATTTTTTTGTAATCTACACGTAAAAATACGTCAAAATATATAAATTTGAATCACTTTAGATCAACTTTTTTGCGGAAAAATACATTTTTTTCTTAAATTTATCATTTTTCTTCAAAAATTTGAAAAAAATTGATCATCAACTCCAATCGTGCTTACATTTTTTCCCTGTATTTTTCACGCAAAAATACAGTTTTACAGCAAATATGAACAATTTGGGTTGAATATTGTGTGCGCTAGGGAGAATAAATCATTTTTTTCGAAATTTTTGATTTTTCCTTGACAATGCTATGTAAATTGATTCGAATCAAGTTCGCTATATTTTTCCTGTAATTTTCACGTAAAAATACGTAAGTGTGCAAAATTTGAGCTCTTTATGTCAAGAGATGTGGCTGCTAGGGGGGGGGGGGTACATAGTCATTTTTAGGTATTTTTCGTAAAAATTCATGGTTTTTCCTTGACAACGCTATGATAATCAACTCCAATCATGCTCGCTATATTTTTTTGTAATCTACACGTAAAAATACGTTAAAATATATAAATTTAATTTCCTTTAAATAAAATTTTGTTCGTTTTTGCTGGAAAAATACATTTTTTTCCTAAAATTGTCATTTTTTTTTGAAAAACTTGATAAAAAGTTAATCATCAACTCTAATCGTGACCGCTTTTTTTCCCCCGTATTTTTCCCGTAAAAATACATTTGTATACTAAATATAAACTGTCTGTGTTGAATATTGTGTGCGCTAGGGAGAATAAATCATTTTTTTCGAAATTTTTGATTTTTTCTTGACAACGCTATGTAAATTGATCGGAATCAAGTTCGCTATATTTTTCCTGTAATTTTCACGTAAAAGTACGTAAGTGTACCAAATTTGAGCTTTTTATGTCAAAAGATGTGGCCGCTAGGGGGGGTACATAGTCATTTTTAGGCATTTTTCGTAAAAATTCATGGTTTTTCCTTGACAACGCTATGATAATCAATTCCAATCAAGTTCGCTATATTTTTCCTATAATCTACACGCGAAAATACATATGTGTACTAATTTTCAGCTCTCTAGATAAATTTGTGTGGCCGCTAGGGGGGGGGTACACGATTTCAAAAAAACCGATATTAATAGGGTTCCGAACCGAGTACGGAACCCTAAAAATGGCGAAAAGAACGTCATTTTTTAAACTTTTTTGTTAAAAGTAGTGCAATTCTTTTTCAATTTTGATTTTTTAAGGTAATTTTAGGTATAAGCACTACATTAGTACTTTAACTTTAAGATTATTTTTTGATGTTTGGTTTTGAATCACTGCCCTAATGAAAATTCTCATGTAAGATAATATATATGATGGATTTGAACATAAGAAATCATATAGGATTTCATGTAGATTCTGAAATATCTATCTAAGATTTCACATGGAATTATATAAAGGAAACAATATATATATATATATATATATATATATATATATATATATTTATATATATATATATATTATATATATTATATTAATTATATTATATTAATATTATTAAATATTAATTAATTAATTAATATTAAATATTATATTAATATATATATATATATATATATTATATATATATATATATATATCAAATAATATTACTGCAATTCGACTGAAAAGAAAAAAATTTGTGCTTTGCAATAGACCTTCTCAGTTAAGAGACTCAGCTTTTATAGTATTCAAGACTGATCTCAACTGTGAGAAAAAAAATTTTCACCATCTGGCGGCGTAAGAGTGGAACTATGATGATCTATATCTATTTGGAATTTCCCATATAATTTCTCATATAATTTCCTACTTGGTATTTTAGATGGAAAATTAAAACAGTGAAATCCACACATGACATCCCACATGTATTCCTATATGATGAATTCTTACATGAGATCGTATATAGGATTTTATGTAGGATCCTATATAAGATCCTACATAAGATTTTATATCGATTTTTATATATATTCCTGTATGATGAATTCTTACATGAGATTCTATATAGGAATCCATATGAGAACATATGGAGCATCTTATATAGGTTCCTACATAAAATCTTGTATACGATCTCATGTACGAATTCATCATATAGGAATACATGTGGGATGTCATGTGTGGATTTCACTGTTTAAATTGTCCATCTAAGATATCAAGTAGGAAATTGTATGAGAAATTATATGGGAAATTCCAAATAGATGTAGATCATCATAGTTCCACTCTAACGTCGCCAGATAGTGAAAAATTTTTTCTCACAGTTGAGATCAGTCTTGAATACTATAAAAGCTGAGTCTCTTAACTGAGAAGGTCTATTGTAAAGCACAAATTTTTTTCATTTTAGATGAATTGCAGTAATATTATTTGATTTTTAATAAAATAATTTTTAATTTTTATAAATGGCCGCCTGCCAACTGAAAATCCCTATATGAAATCCTATATTGTTTCCTTTATATAATTACATTTGAAATCTTAGATAGATATTTCAGAATCTACATGAAATCCAATACGCAAAAAGTCTTTTTAAATTTTAAACTTAACTAAGCGAGAAAAATGTTGAATTTTGACATATTTTGCACACTTCTCATGAGTACCCTTTAAAACCTAATAAAAACGTTAGAAATAAATTTTTGTACATACAATAGGAAAAAGGTTACAGATGATTGAAAAAGTGGATGTTCATAAAAAATGAAAAAATTTAACCCCCTCCACATCCTACAGTTTTTGAATAATCTTAAAAATACTCCATGTCTGAAATGCTGAAACAACTTTGACAAATGTCTATATGCTATTTTAAACAGTCACATCATACCTTTACACGTGCGAGAACACACTCACATGAGTAAAATCCACATGTTACTCACTGATCACTTCGTGAATGCGATATGCGTGCGTTGTGACACGCATTAACTGACTCGCACGTCAAGTGCGTAACTTACGTCGCACTATTGTTATCTGGGATGTCATGAACTAATAAAATTGTTAAAGAAGTGTCCGGACTTTTCAAAATGAAGTCAAACTGGAAACAGCATTTATGCAATTGAGTGTACAATACTACATTTCTACTAAATTTCATAAAAAATTAAGACATATTTTTTATGAAAAATTTGACTGAAAAATATAGAAAATTTGATTAGAATTAATTTTATCAGCAGTTTAAATTAAAACTTAAAATACACAGAATGAAATGAGAATTGATTAATATTAAATTTAATAGAAGAAAACATTTCTTACAATAAGTATTTCATACACTTACAAAACAGTCAATTTTAAGGGTAGAGATCGGTGAAAATCCAACTCATCAAAATTAATGCTGTTAAAGGTTGTCAATTTTTTTTCTGGCATTATTTTGTATCAAAAATTATTGTGAATTATCAAAATTAAAAAAAAATTTTTTTGACTATTTTCAAAATTTTATTTTTTGAAAATATTAAAATTTTTAAAAATCCATATGATTTATTGTTCAGAATAATGAAAAAAACTTACAAAAAAATTACCGATAAAAAATAATAAAAATTGTAGAAGAAGTTGAATTTTTAAGGAATAATTGATCAAATTGAAACCAAATTTAATTGGTTTGGTTTAGCGGTAACAATTTTTTTTACAAATTTTTTTAGAACCTGAAATCATATTTCACTATGAAATATGAAAAAACGTTATTTTTAACAAATTTTGCATTTTTTTTAATTTTTCAAAAATTTTATTTTTTAAAAAATTGAATTTTTTCAAAATCCATACGATTGATTGTTCAGAATCTTGAAAAAAGTGTATAAAAAATCAGCAATGAAAAATAATAAAAATCGTGACAGAAGTTTAAATTTTTAGTTTCTGAAAAAATTTCGAGTTTTATTTTAAAAATTATTAATAAATTAATTGTTTATCAATTTCCCATAGTATATTACAGTTTTAAATACTCAATATTAACTGGAAAAAAATTGACAACCTGAAACAGCCTCGATTTTGAAATTTCAGCGGTCCCTCCCTTTAAAGTTAATGGGAATTCTTTTTACATAAAACTATTCCTTTTATCATAAAAGGATTCCTCTCAACATTAAAGGACTATTTTGTTTTATAATGTGTAACCAGAACGCGAATGCATCATGTAATTATATGTTTTAAATTTGGTTGCAGATTAAATTCTTTAGTATTGTTAAGAAGATAATCTAACGTGGTATTGATTGATAACATTATATTTATTTATTCAGTCAGTCATTCACATCTATTATAACCTCATTATCTAAAGAAGTAAATATATTTGTTTTTACTATCTTTAAATTTTTAGAAGCTAATTTTTTAAAATATTTTGCAGTTTATGCGATATAACTGAAAAATGTCAGTATCTTGAAACTCTTATGTTAAAGATATCGTTTCGTAGATATTTTGTAACGGATATTATGAATATGATTTCTTTTTTAAATCGAAAAATTGTTTTTTCAAGAAAAGAAATAAGTTTAAAAAGATACTTAAGTGCACAGGATATAATGGATCGAGATAAAAAATATGGAGCTCATCATTTCCAGCCATTGCCAGTTGTTTTATCAAAAGGAGAAGGAAGTCATGTATGGGATGTTCAAGGAAAAAAGTACCTTGACTTTATTGCTGGTTTTGCTACTTTGAACCAAGGGCATTGTCATCCTAGGTTAAAAAAAATTATGCATGAACAAATAGAACTTATTACTCATACCTCCAGAGCATTTTTTACAACCGCACATGGAGAATTAGCTGAATACTTGACAAAACTTTTGGGTTGGGATAGATTTTTGCCTATGAATACAGGTTTTTGTTACAATATTTAAACACTATTTATTAAGTAAATAAAGTAATGAGTAAAAATTCCTGAAGTGGATTATACCCAAATTAAAGATGTATTGTATTTGCTTCGAAATACAGAAAATTAAAACTACAAAAAACTTCAATTGTTTATAACTTTCAGAAATTTAATTTTTTTAAAAAATCCTTTGAGGCAGTTTTTCAAGTCATAATAATGTTTTAATTTTCTGTATTTCGAAACAAATACAATACATCTTTAATTTGGGTAATCCACTTCAGGAATTTTTACTCAATAAGAAATACATATTATGATTTTTTAAAAACAATAAGCAGACACAATTTTTAATTCAAAAAGCAGGTAACATTTGAAAAAAGTTTAAACAGCACGTAAATTTCAGATACATGATAAAAAACACATAACTCTATATGACTTTTTAGAGAAAATATATAACTTACAATAACACAGGTCTACAAAATAAGACTTTTTTTTAGTTGTCGGAGTGGTTTCCAATGTATTTTTGTGTGCTGAACCCGATGCCGGGTTTCAAAATTGCATATCACGTCAGGATTTTGAGTAAAGAGGGGGTAAAGTCTCCAAAAACAGTGTTTTTGAGGGTTTTCATTTTTTTCTCCTTAACCCGAAGTGCTAGACACTTCTTTATAGTCTTAAATTGAAGCTTACATCTTACACTTTAAGACTCATATACGCAAGATTAAAAAAATTTAAATTAAAAAAAAAATTAAAGTAAATACCCCAAAAACCGTGTTTTTAAGGTAAGTGTTTTAATTATTTTTTTTCGTAAATTTTTCTTAAATTTTTCTTTTTCTTAAGTTCTTTCGAATAGTTTATTTCGAATTTATTTATGTTTTGTTGACGTTAAAAATAACGATTAAATAAAAGTAAAATATGTAAATCAATCAATTAGTTTCTATGTAAGAAATGCAATTTTGCGTAAAATTTTGCGTAAATTTTTTGAAAATTTTTATTAAGAAAAAAGAAAAAATTTTTTTTAACAAAAACAAAAAATTTAAATTTTTTGAAAAATAAAAATAATGATTTCATCTATAAATTTAGGTAAAATATGAACTTAATATAGATTAAAAAATTCGTTTTAACGCAAAGAATACGTGATTAAAATAAATAAAGTGAATTTTTTATAATAAAAAGCTTTTTTATCAAATAATGTATTTTTAACTTTTTGAAAAAATGGTCCCAAAAAAAATTGTGTGGATATTTTTGGAAATCCTTGTGCCCGATTTTTGGTATTAGTAAGTAGAATTGGCATGCATAATTTCAGGGCGATCCGTCAACATTTGTTTGAGATAATTTGTACACAAGAAGCGGTGCCATATACACACATCTACACATACATCCGGACATTTGTTTCTCATGTCGATATAAAACTATATTAGTTAAAAATTTATTAAAATAATTGATTTTAGAAAGTTGGAAAATTGTCATCACTATAAAGCTTCCTACGAGGAAGCAACATTTTGAAAAAAAGGGAGATAATGATTCCAATAATCTTTTTAGGTGACTTGAAACTAATTTTTTTTCAAAATTAAAAAATTTTTTATCTTGCGCATATCAGTCTTAAAGTGTAAGATATAAAGTTTAATTTAAGCCTATATAGAAGTCTCTATCACGTCAGGTTAAGGAGAAAGAAATACTGAAAACCCTCAAAAACACAGTTTTTGGAGACTTTACCCCCACTTTACTCAAAATCCGGACTAACGACTAAGTCCCCAAGAAGCACGTGATATTAACTTAATATCACAATAATATTACATGAATATAATAATATAATATTACAAGTTATATTGATGTAATATTGATGTAATATTGAGGTAATATTACAAGTAATATTGGGGTAAAATACAAGTAATATTGAGGTAATATTACACTGCAATATTAAAATAATATTTAGATAACACAGGTCAACACTCATTTTGGTGCGCCAAGTGTCAAAGCTGTTTCTGATAGGTTTTTTCATGCTGAACACGAATCCGTAAACGAAAAATTCCTATCTCTATTGAAAACCCCTGTACAAGATCTTGTGCACAAAATGTACATGTTCAGCAGCTGAACTTGTATCTGTTCTGGTGAGAACATGTACAAGTTCTTGTACAATTTCGGCACCAGAATTTGGAACAAGTTCTTGTACGAGAACTTGTAAAAAATCTTGCACAAGATTTTGTACATGTAAATATATTTAATATTTGTATACAATAAAATGTACATGTTGTCGTACAGTAGACCGGAGCGAAAAATAAAAAAGTTTCCGAATCCAATCGTAATAGTGCGGAAAAGTTGCTATTTGTTAATACAAATTCAGAGAAAATTTTTTTTTGAAATCGGACAATATCTTCCGTTCGTGCATCACATTTAAAGTTTACTTATTTTAAGAAAAATTAAATAGATTTACCAAAAATGGTATATCATCATTTATACTTCGCAAGTGATGTCCAAAGAAGATAATTTTATGTAGACAGAATGAACTTGTGGTACACTACATAAAAATGTTATTCCTTTTGTGCAGCTCTTCTCCCGCACTTTTTTGTACGGCTTAGAACTCACCACGGGAGGGTGGCTCCACCGCGAGTTCCATCCACACCCTTCCCAACCAACGAAAAATGGATGTAGAAAATTATTGCGGAATAGCAAACTCTGATTTAGTATCAAATTTAGGCATGGATGCACGAGAGGTGAGGGTTGCTCTTATCAACCCATCACGTCTTTCGGGTCCGTAAACTTTTGAGGAGGCTTGTGTTAGAATTTTAACACAGCGCTCTACAGCCTGAGTGTGGCATGGAATTTCTGCCAAATTTATGTCCAATGTTGGTTTGTGCTTACTAGATATTAATTGTGAAATTGTATCGAAGAAAGATTTGCCAAAAGTGGGGAAAACGTAAGTTTTGCTTCTGACCAATTTATTAACTCAAAATATTCATTCGCTTCGAAATTTACTTTAGGAACCAAAAAGTTTTAAACATTTTTCCCCTTTACGGGAACTTCTTTGGATTCTAAACTCGATTAAGTCCGAGTTCTCGGACATGCTCTCTGTTATCAACTACCATTGAGAAAAAAATATTTTCTGGATGGGCAAAGAAGGCATTTGTTTGATTGACTTCACACTACTGCCTGAATAGAGGAAGATAAGTTTCTACATTTTTTAATACATTCTAAAATATATTTAGGTCTGTCAACTATCAAAGATTTTGTTTTGATTTCGGACCACAGAGGTACGTATACCGCAAGAATGTATTTTACAATATGAATCAGGTTATTAGATGGTTTTCGCAGGGAAATGTACAACCTCAGAAACCTGTTCGCAGTTGTCAACCATCGAGAGTGTGATATTGGTCCCGGATCTCGATTTGCTAGGTCTGGCGAACAAGATCCAGCATCAATGGCAGTAGCAATGTCATTTAAGTATCTTTGATCTTTACTTAGGTTTTTATCATCAACTATTTGTGGAAGAGAGCACTCAATTCTCTGAAAAACAACGACAGGCAAAGATTTGCAATGTGTCAGCTGTTTACCAAGATGACCACTGAAAGACTCAGGCCCAGTGGTTTTCCCATCAAGTGATTCGACAAGATGCCTCAAAGGTAACTCATTGAAATGAAGGAGACAGATAGCCCATTGCACTGGTCTCTTTAAACGCATTTCAATATATTTAATGCTTCATTTTTCCAGCCGCTGTTTGTTCAAGTGCCATCAGATCCAACCACTACAATGTTGGATGAATCTATTTCACTTTCGTCAATGAAGTCTACAATGCAAAATGCTGTGTCTTTTCCACTTTTTGAGGTAGGAACTAAATGACTCCGATGTGGTCCGTTTCAGTCTACATTTTTCTTTCTCTCTTCTAATTTTACTCCCATTAACGATAAGGGATTTGTCACTGTCGGTAATAAGACCTAGATCTGTAAGTACGTTAGAAGTGATAGCAGCTGTGGCTCTGTCAGACACACCAAAGCGATCATTTGTCAAAGCAGTTGCTAGAAGTGATAATCGCATCTGTAAAGTTTTTGAATAACCTGATTGAGATTACAAAGGGCGTAGAGACTGAAAGTCAGAATTATCCTTATCATCATTAACATCAAAGGAAATCTCTGCTTTAGAGTCAATGTTACTACAAAAGGGTCCAGGCAGGCTGGTTTGATTTATCTGACGTGCCTTTCTTATAACCTTAGTGTAAGCTTTTGACTTTCCTTTACATCAACTGTCCCAATCTTACCTTGTCTAAGTTGTATTTGAGTATAAAGAAATTTTATTTCTAATGGAGGTATCGTTCTGTCTTTAGGGCAAGTGCAGTTGACAACTACCGGACTGAGGCCTCCGTTTCCGGTACCGATTTAGAGTACACGCGATTATTTAAGGTGTTATTAAAAAGTATTTTTTGGAAAGTTTTCTGTGTGAAGGGTGGGAAGAGAGTGAGTGGAGAGTGTAAAGTGAAGTGTGAGTTGCAAGTGGGAGAAAAAGTGCATGTGTGGAGTGGCGTGCAAGGGCATAAAAAAGTGAAAGTGTGTGTTGTGGTAAAAGTGAGGTTAGGTGAGATTGAATTGTGTGAGTGAGAGAGAGTGTTAAATTAGACAAAGAGGTAGGGGGTTTTTTGAAATAGAGTTAGTGTGGATAAGGTAGGGAGTATGTTTAAGACTCCGCCGAAAGATGGAAGAGGGCAGGAGGAAGCGGAGAAAGCAAAGCGCGCGAGAAAGACGGAGAGCGTGATCGGTGAGACGGTGAAAAGTGATGATAGGGGCAGCAAGAGGGAAGACGACGCATCGGAAAGGCAAAGCAGCAAGGCGACGAGTGAGAGAAGCGATGGGGATAAAGCATCGGGCAGAGATGAAGCGTCGAAAAGAAAAGCTGGCAGGCTGTCGGCTCAGGAAATGAGGGAGTGGTCGGTGAGCCTAGAATCGAAGAAAAATATGAGCATGTGGAGTCAGCTAGTGAGAAGGATAAGGAGCAAAACGAAGAGGAAAAGGGGGATGAGGGAGGG